TTAGGTGAATTAGTAAAGGGTATTTCCATAATTTTGTTTATTTTTTTATCATATGCATTTTACTGAAACACCCTTCATTAATTCACCTAAAATTATAGAAACATCCTTCATTAATCAAAACGACGTAGTTTTTTGCGGTAGCTGTAGATAACCTTATCTAAAGTGGCTGTAGAAATGTTTTTTTTTTCTCTCTATCTATATATATAGGTAGGATCCTTTGACATCAGTGTTAAATTTGAAATTTGACATCTCATCTGAGAGTCATTAGATCAAAAAATTCAACGACTCTAATTTGTAAGCATGTGACACCATTGATCTTTTTTGATCTAACAGCTCTCAGATGAGGTGTTAAATTTCAAATTTGACACTGGTGTCAAAGGATCTTACCTCACACACATATATATATATAGGGGAAAACTATTCTCATATTACACAAGATAAATTTTTTCTCCTACACACCAATCGATAACTGTGTCACATTTTTCTTTTATTCTTATTATTTTAGGTGATGGAGCCCACAAGGTTATCTCTATGACATGATATAACTTATCTCCTTTAACATGAGATTAATAAAACCCATATATATATAGGTAGGATCCTTTGACACTACTAGTGTCAAATTTGAAATTTGACACCTCATCTGAGAGCTGTTAGGTAAAAAAAGATCAACAACTCTGATTTGTAAGCATGTGACACCATTGATCTTTTTTGATCTAACGGCTATCAGATGAGGTGTCAAAGGATCCTGCCTAATATATATATAGGGTTTTTTTTCCTAAAGTTACTTTAGATAAATTTATCTAATGTTCACGAAAACGACATCGTTTTGGGGTGAAAATCATGATATTTTTGTAATTTTAATTTATTCCAGGGTTAAAATAGTTTTTATCATTCTATTTTTTTTTTTTAATTTTCAATCCCAAAACTACGTCGTTTTAATGAACATTAGACAAAGTTATATAAAGTAATATTAGATAATTTTTCCCCATATATATATATATATATATATAGAGAGAGAGAGAAATGTGAGATTCTTTACACCAGTGTCAAATTTAAAGTTTAACACCTCATCTGAGAGCCGTTAGATCAAAAAATATCAATGACTCTGATTTATAAGCATGTGACACATTTGATATTTTTTGTTCTAACGACTCTTAGATGAGGTGTCAAACTTTAAATTTGACATCGATGTCAAATGATCTTATCCTATATCCGTTTACAAACTTTTATAAATTATACTATGTACTCTCGAAAGTACACTCGATTATATGTGTATATAATCGAGTACATAATGTACTCGATTAGTAATGGCAAGTATTAAATGTTCTTCCGAGAGTATATATTGTACTTCCCCGTATATATATATATATATGTGTGTGTTCATTTTTTTTTATTGAATGTAGATAAATTATTTGTAGTGAACCCAAAATGGCATCATTTTGCGGCATAAATCAAGATGTTTTTATAATTTTAATTTATTTTAGGGTTATAATAGTCTTTCTCATTATATTTTTTTAATCTTTCAACTCCAAAATAACGTCATTTTAGGAGTGAAAGAAGATAACTTACCTGCATTCACTGTAAAAATATTAAAGTCTCTCTCTCTCTCTCTATATATATATATATATATATATATATATATATATATATATATATATATATGATTCTCCATATTTAATGTTTTCATCTTTTGTATGGTTATGATTCCCCGAATTTAATGCTTTCAAGTATATATATAGCAAGTATTTTGTTGCTGCACGTACAACAGCTGCAGAAATGTAAACTCCATATTATATTTATAAATTTGTTATTTACGAACTCTTATAAATTATACTATGTACTGTGAGGATTGAGGAGTATATACTTAAGTATTTATATTTTACTCATACTTAAGTGTTTGTACTTCTAAGAATATATAATACAGTTTCTAAATACAAAATTTATAAATATAACATGTTCTCTATATATGATATGTTATATTCACAAATTTTTTATTTATAAATTCTTATAAATTATGAGAAATACATATTTAAATATTTGTATTTTCTAATACCCAATATAATTTATAAATAGAAAATTTATAAATATAACATTCTATATATATAATACGAAGTAGTTGGATTGGTGACTGGGTCGAATTTGAACGTGAGGGCAGATTCGTGGAAAGTCTCCTGCATAGTTTTCTATTATGTGTAAACTCGTCAAAGGAAACTAAGGGCTGACTTATTTTACTAGAGTTTTTTTTTTTATTTTCGGTGTGAATAATATGTGGTCATTAACCCGTGTATCATAATACAACTTACCCAGTGTTTCTTGAAACAATAAAAATATTAAATCAATTGTTATTTTGTTCGAGATCAAATACAGGCAAAATTTTTTTTTGTTACTTTTAATGTCTGTATAAATAATTAATTGACCGATATTTTTAGAAAAGCATTTGAAGGCTAATAATTCGAATTCATTTCCGCAACTTGGGGGGAAATATAATGGAAAGTGTTTGATCCGATGTCCAAGGATATATTGTGAGAGAAATATCGCCAAGAATAGTATTATTATGCACAAAAATAAAAGGAATAATTAGAGCAGACATGGAGATATGTGCCCAAGAGAGAGTAGAGCGTAATTGTAAATTATAAAGTGTATATCTAATTCACTTAACCACTTATTTTTTTTTTGTAAATACTTAACCACTTATTTATATATGAATTATGTTGTGTAAGTAGGATTTTGGATCTTTTAAAGAATATGGAAGGCCTAATATTCGATTCGCATGTGATATAATAAGATTGATGTTATCTCTTTTGGGTAATTGTCTATTGTGGTTGTGGGCTATTAAAATATAAGAAAAATGTTTATCATTTTAAATGACACAACTTGTATCATTTCATTCTCATAAAGAAGTGGGACCCACACATTTATTTATTTTTTAAATTCTCTCATCCCTTTATCTATCTCTTTCTCTCACTTAAAATGATACAACTTTACATCCTTTAAAATGATACATATTTTTCCTTAAAATATATGTCCATAAAAATAAATGGATACATAATAGAAATAATTGACATCGAACATAAATTAATATGAAAAAATTTGTGTTTATAAACGTTACATTAATAATGTGTAAATATTTTAATTTCTTATTCACCATATCCTTCCTTTTATAATTTTTTATATATATTTCTTTTTATTTTTATAAAAATTATAAATTTTTATAAAAATTATAAATTTTAAAAAATGTTACAATCTTATTATAAAGTTAAAAAAAAAATTATTATAATCTTATTAAGGAAACTCAACTATGTCTGATTGTCTTCTTATTGACCATAATTTTTGACAAATGTAAACACAAGAGTCAAAGACTGTATTATTATAGTCTTGGTCGTTGACGCATAAGCGAAGTATCTTGTAGAACGGGCAAATTAGGATGTTGTGTGGAAAAGAAACAGTCATTAATGTGTTATTTTATTTTTAAAAAGATAAAATAAGAAACATAACTTTTTAAAGTATTTATTTTAAACAATTGTTCTTCATAGTTTTTTTTTTTAAATATAAAAATAAGAACATAGTTTAATTATTTTTAGTTTTTAACCTATTTTCATGAATTTTCTAATTTCACTCTAAACTATCACTAATATTAATAAAATTTAAGAAAACATAACTCACCTAACTCTATATAAATTGCATTTCGTATTCAATCTATTAAATTTTGAAAAATATAATTCACCTAACTCTTGCATTTAATCCACCAAATAAAATTTCAGAAAATGGACAGTAATATATACTCCCTCACTAAAATTAAAAATAAATGGATTCATAAAGGTAGAATAATTACATTAGGGGAATTTATATTTTTCTAAATTTAGCATGTGCAACATTGAATGCTCAGTCTGAAAATTTTATCTAGTGACAGAGGTCAAAGGCTAATTCAATTCAGGGCTATCTCAAATATGTGCTTACTTTTTCAAAATTTATTCTCACACAAAAAAATTATCAAACAAGTTTTTAAAACATTTTAGGGAAATTTTTTTCTCAAGGACATAAAATTATCTTCAGAAAACTTAGACCTACAGTGGAAAAAAATACTGAATATTTTATTAATTTTATTTTTCTTTTGTATCATGTATTTACAAAAAAATCTTATAAATTTTTTTAGTATATCTACCTTAAGTATCTCTTCAAGACGACTCGAACCCAGTATTCTCAAAAAAACTTAACTCTTTAAATCAGTTACGAGACTAATCTCAAGCCAGAGATTAATCACATTTAAACCTCCTCACTCCTTCTCAAAAATGTATTTGATAAAAATCAAAATTAGGTTCTTTCCTCACTCTATTTAATCTATGTTGACAACTAAGCTATGCCCATTGGGTCCTTATGTTTTTGTAAAGGAGTTATTTCTCTCATGTTATGGAAGACAAGATCTCTTATATTGAAAAACAAATAAAATGGGCCCATTAATTTAAAAATAAAATAAAATAAATAAATAAAACATATTTTTCTATGTGAAAGCAACGTGAGAATACAATCTCGTATAACATAAAACTATAATTTTCCTTTTTTAAAACCCAAAAATGATATTATTTTGGGATCCCTACTTTTTATGATGTAAAATAGTTCTACAAGATTATTTACCAAAAAAAAAAAAATAGTTCTAAAAGACAATTTTATGAAATATTTTTGAAGAGAAAAATAAAACAGATTTTCTTAGATTTTCTTGCTCTCTACTTTCTCTGTTATGTTGACACTTGACAGCACTGTTTCTTACAAAGTTCCCTCATCTTTACTCAGTCAGCACACACTCATATTTCTTTCTTTCACACTGACATGCATTTTCCCACCGACCCTTTAGAACCCTTCTCTATATAAGTCAGAATCTTCTCTCCTTTTTCTGCCATGATCAGCAGTTTTCTAGAAAATTTCATGCTTGAGTTCCAAATGGCTGGATAGTAGCACTGCCAACAATTAGTAAGGTGTTTTCAGTTTTGACACTATATTATTGTCAGCTTCAAACATGTCTTACCCTCTTTTGTTTTTGTTTGTTTGTTTGGGTTAACTGACTGCTGAGAAGTATTTCCTTAAATAGAATAGATACTTTCCAACAGTTTGTTTGTTTGTTTTTGTGTTTCTTAATTTGGAATCTATTTTTTTTTTCTTGATTTACTTGTTGATATCTTTTTGCTTGTTTTATTAGTAAGTCTTTACTATAATATTGTTGAATTCTTCTTTGGAGTAATGCTCATTGTCATACTTACAGCTAATAGTTTTGAATTCTTAGGTGGTTTATTATTAATTGGAGAAAGGTCAAATATGATGCTATCATCATTTTTAGTACTATTTATTCGCCAGAATGAGTTGAGAACTTGAGATCAATCTGAATGAATAGTGTTGATCCATAAAAAATATTCAATTTAAGATATTGCAGATTTTGTTCAATAAGCTTGGTTTGTGGTTTATGCTTAATTATAGTTATAGTCTGTACTTTTACTTTTCATTTTCATTTCCAGGAGATAATGAGATATAGGACTCCTTGAACCTGTATAGTTTGGAAACCTATTAGTGCTGTAACAGAAGCAGTTGGATTTCTTTAGTTTTTCATTTTTTTTTTTCTTGAGGAAAAGGGATGAAGTTTTGTGAAGATGAGAAAAAGAGACAGTAGATGAGTGGGGATGGGGGACCCTCCAACAATAATTTGAAGAAAACAAACCTTAACTGAAGAAGAATATAATGCTCTTTTTGATCACACTGACCCACCACTATGTTATCTCTTTGTATAATGGACCTAAAAGTTTCAATCACTCTAGCAACAGTTCCTGTGTTTTGAGCCTTAAAATTTCATGGACTACAAGTATAGTGAAGAGCTTCCTTGTATCCTTATAGTGCATTAAGTTTCATTTGGCCTTTTCACTTGCATATGGTTTTTGGATGCTTTTCATGCTGCGCCGTATGTTTTGTTTCCTTTTGTTTGTTCATTATTTTGAGTATAGATTGAATTAATTTGAGTTTGGAATAACTGTTTTGACATAGAAATGTTGGTATTGAATGTTTTGTTAATTTCGTTAATATTTCAGAATTGTCAAAGAGACATGGCTGGTTTTGAAAAAGATGAGGTGCCAATGCTGTCAGATACTAACCCCAAACTATCAATTGAACCTGTTGATTCTAAATTCCAGAGGCTTGTACCTAGGACACGAAGTGCATCAATTTCTATTCCCATGTTCTCCACGGAGTCATATGAAACAGATACTAATCTTGTGGGACACACTGGACCGCTACGGAGTAAGAGGAAAACTCCATTTAATCAGATGAGTGGTCCTTTATATGTTACCCATAGACCTGGAAACCTTTTCAGGCAGAATATAGTAGCACCAGGGAACCAAGCAGTGGAAAGTAAGACAGAAAAGTTTCCTTCATTGAGTGGCATGGATGAAAATGATTTGCAGAACCACTATGCTGGCAAAAATGAACATTTAATAAGGTCTGGTCCACTGGGAATGTGTAATGATCCATATTGCACAACTTGCCCAACTTATTTCAAGGCTACTCAACAAAGGAATTCTAAAGCTTCGGGTATATTCAATCCTAAGGTATCTTTCTTCCTAAAATAAACTATCAATTCTAGTATTTTAAGTTGCCTTTGATTACACTTAATGCATCTTAAGTTCTTGCATGTATCATGCTCAAGAATTTTAATTCTAGATGTTTATCTTTCCGCTGTAGAGTTTGATTATAAGTAAACTTATTATATGATATGATGATTTTGTCATGCATAGATCATTATTTGAACTATACAACACTTATGTGCTTCTCAAGCAGACAATGGTTTCCATAATCATATATAATTTATGGTATATCATGTTCTTATTGTGGTTTACTTTGATCATGTATAAAAAATAAATGTCACCCTTCTAGTTATATAGTCTGTCTTTTTTCTTTGTTATTTTCGTAAGTCAGTGTCAAGTTAAGTAGTAAGTGTAATGAAATTTAGAGTTGTTTCTGGTGGTGGATCCAAAGTAGGGTTAAATTTCATTATGTGAGACCAAATAAAGAAGGGGAAGCACATTACTGCTAAAGACAGCAAAGTCTTACAATCCAGTTGCATACCAGACAAAGAAGTCCTACGAAAATAGCACTTAGCAGAGCACCGTATACTCGAAGGCTAGACACAAACTCTGTACCATAAAAAATACTATTGTCTACCCTTGAAAATTCTAGCAACCTTTAATGTACCATTATAGGATATATTCTTTTAAATTTTAAATCCTTTTACCATCTGTAGACATGTTATCTTATGAATCACTTGGACAATATTAGCTTCTGTTACTGAATAAATTTGTTCAACTTTGAATGTTTTCAGTTTCACAATTCCCTTTATGGGGATGCCAAGGGTTGGGCAAGAAGACTGTTTGCTTTCTTGATTCCACGTTTTCCTGGAGTTATGAATCCTCATACTAAACTTGTACAAAAATGGAATAAATTTTTTGCAATTTGTTTCTTGGTGGCAATTTTTGTGGATCCATTATTTTTCTTCTTGCTCTCTGTGCAGAAGGTATGGTTTTTTCCCCCTTTATTTAGATTCAAGATATTGTGAGTTGCATCTAGTTAGTAATCTTTATTTCACTTAAACAAGCTCTAATCACTTCACAACGAATAATTATATCAATGGGATGGAAATCTTAAGATACTCAAGAAGCACTCCAACTTCACAAGACATCCTTAGAAAATGGTGTTTTCATCTCACTTTATTCGATATCAATAATATCTATAGCTGTTGAAACGCTCTATTTTTCTCTCTCTATATATGTGTATAAGTTTGTGAGTATGTGTTTTGCATGCTAAAAAAACAATTAACACCCCGCTTCAATCTGTGTTCATAAAGTGTCTGTTTACATTTAAATATCAGAAGTGAGGATAATTTAACCTATGACATGTTTAGACACATTCATTAACTAATTGCCTGTTGAGACTAGGCTTAGACTGAACCTTGGCCTTTGAACTTGTTCTATAAGTTGTGTTTTGTTGGATTTGTGCCCGAACAAAACTATAAAGCCAGTCATTTGCTATAAAGAAGGCAGGATGATAGAAATATTCAGGAAGAGACAAATTCTCTTTGCAAGGGAAATAGAGTGATAGGAGAGCTGATATCTTTTCCAATATTAGCAAACAAAATTGTGGACTCTCTTTTATTCTCTTACTGACCTAAATCTAGAAGGAGGATAATTTACAGGTGTTCTTCTCACTGTTTAATTGGCATCATAATTCAAGTATTATAGTTACTTTGTGATTGATGTCATCACAGTTTAACTTCTCTTCAATTCCCTATGTAGTCTATTTGCAAATGGACTCTAATTTTTTCTGCTTGTTGTATGCAGGAACAAAAATGTATTGTTATAAACTCGACTATGACAAAATTGCTTGTTTTACTTAGATGCATGAATGATTTTGTATACTTCCTAAACATTATTCTTCAGGTAACTTCTAAGAATTTCCAGGAAGTTGTTTATTCCTTTAAATTGTGTAACTATTTTTCATGTATTAAACTGAAGGTTCTACATTATTACTCTTAATTACCAAGAGACAAGAGGTATTCATTGTAATCCTTGTGTCAATTACACGAAGGAGACTTCTTTTATATATTAAACTAAATAACAAATACACACACATATACACAATGTGGGACTTCTATACTATGTACAGCAACACTCCCCCTCAAGTTGGAGCATGTAGATCGTATGCACCAAGCTTGTTACATATCTGGTCTATCCTAGGTCCTCTCAAAGACTTAGTAAATACATCAGCTAATTGATCATTTGAGTTGACAAAACGAGTGACTATATCTCCTGAGAGAACCTTTTCCCTAAGGAAATGACAATCTATCTCAATGTGCTTAGTCCTTTCATGAAATACTGGATTTGAAGCAATATGCAAAGCAGCTTGATTATCACAAATGAGAGATGTTGGGCCAGTGTCTCCAAACTTGAGTTCCTTCAGTAGCTGTTTTAACCAGATGAGTTCACAGGTAGCTGTGGCCATGGAGCGATATTCTGCTTCAGCACTTGATCTAGCAACTACACTTTGCTTCTTACTTCTCCAGGAAATCAAGTTATCTCCAACGAATACACAATACCCAGAAGTGGATCTTCTATCAATAGGAGAACCTGCCCAATCAGCATCTGAGTATCCTACAACTCTGGTATGACCTTTGTTTTCATAGAGAAGACCTTTGCCAGGAGCAGTCTTGATGTACTTGAGGATACGGATTACTGCATTCCAGTGATCTTCACAGGGAGAATTCAAATCTCTCTCTGATGTTTCAACGTGCGCATTATAGTTTATCCTATATGCCACTGTTTGTTCCATTGTGCAGGTTTTTCTTCTTTCTTGTGGTTTAATTATTGCTGAGGACAACAATTCTCTAAATCTGGGAATGGTAGGCTTGCATCTTAGAACTGCTGCAATTCTTCTATCAGGGGAGATATTCTAACTCTTTTAATTTTCTTAGTTATTTTTGTAGTATTTTGTGTGCCCTTGATTTAAAAAAAATGATCTGTTTTTTAAGTAATTCTCAGGTTTAAATGTGCTTATCTAGTTAATGTGCTTGACTGAATTTTTGGAAGCATGTTGTATGACTTTCTGGCATGACATTGCATAGATACAATTGGATTACATGATTGCTCGTTTGTCTGAACTGATGTTGTGAAATTCTGATAATGTCTGAAGTCAATTTTATTGAGTCTATATTGATACCGTAGTTGTGAGGTTTGATCTTAAACACTGAATTTTCTTGTTGAGAGACCTCACTGTTGTAACACTCTAGAATTTGATCTGTTTCTCTGTAATGCATGCATTGGTTGATATGATAAAGGCATTTTGTTCTTGTTAGCTATTGGCCAAAATAATCCACCTGTATGAAATTGTTCCATTGCTAGCCCCTTGAGCCTGAACATAATTTTGTTGATAAATGACATGTGCCTGATTATTGGCTTAGCCTATATCCATGTGACTTACCTTGATTGAGATTGAATTACTGATGTGTTGAAAATAAAACAAAGAAATTGAGGTAAGTTCCACCAAGGTCAAGTAATTAGGGGATGTAAATTTCATCTGTGCCCTTAAAAAAAGAAAAGAAAAGAAAAGCAAGAAAAAGAAAAAAAGGGTGAATGTGCATAAAAGGTGTTTGGAAGGAATTAATTCCCGAAATTCTGTGGGAATGTTAGTGGAGCAAAACCATTGAGTTGAATGTGTTAAAGTGAAATAATATCAGTTTTTCAATCTCATTGTTGTTTGAGCTACTATCCATATATTCCTACCCTTTAACCCGGCCAAGTTACAACCTGTGAAGTCCTTTTGATCAATTGATGCATGTGTTTGATTCTTCATTTTTAAGAATTTTTGAGAATATGATCAAGCCTATGGTAGTGTTATAGCTGTGATTGATTGAGTGCTCATGATACACTTAAACACTGAGTGTTGAGTGGACTTTATTTTTCTGTGTTAGGGGTAATCAATGTAGACTTGTATCTTTAAGTGGCTGATGACATTGTTGGGAGTTTATGATATTGGGTCAGGCATGCATGGCATATTGTGTCTGAGAGTGTCTATGGATTGTTATGTTGGAATAATTGAATATGTCCTGGATTGAGTCTTGTACATTGCTGGGGACAACAACGTTTAAATCTGAGAATGATTTGATATGCCTCTAGCATATATATGATTTTTAGCCAAAATGAGAAAGAAATCTTGATTAATCTTGGAGAAAAAGGGCTAGAATTACTATTAATTTGATAAATCTCAATCAAAGATTGTGCAACTGATTTCCTTCTAATTTTGTAGGAAACAGGAAAAAAAGGCACTTTTGGAAGTTCAGGCCAGAGTCCCACGCTAATAGCGTGAAACTCACGCTAGTAGCGTGAGAATCCAGAGACATCCATGCTCATGGCGTGAAACTCATGCTAGTAGCGCCAGTCATTATTGCCATCCACACTCATAGCGTGAGATCCGCGCTAGTAGCGTGAACATCCAGAGACATCCACGCTCATAGCGTGAAACTCACGCTAAGAGGCCAGATTGTGAAATCACAGCACCGTGTTTTTAAAAGGGCAGTTTTGGAAGATGAAAATGGGGACTATAAAAAGGATGTTCAACTCAGAATTAGGTATTCTGGACCGAAGGAGACCGTCGTGCAGTTAGAAGGAGAGCTCCGGAGAAAAATTCTTGATCTTCTTTATTCTTCCATCTACATTCTCAAGTAACATTGAATATTGAATTTATCAGCCATGATAAAGGTTGGCTAAGTTTTCTTTATTGTAGTTAGGGTCACAAACCTTATGTGAACCCTTGTTACGACGGATTGGTTTATTTCTACTCGTTTATATAAATTTCTTTATCTTTACCTTGTGCGAAATTTCTATTTTCTTTGTTAGACTTGATCAATCTAATAGTTGATGATAGTTTGAGGGTTAGAACCCTAGATAGGAATATTGGGGTTTTGATCTTGAAAGCGAGTAAGATAACAATTATTATGCATGCTAGGAATAGATGTATATTTAATTGCAGATGCTTTAATTATAGTGTTCATTGCTTAATTTTCATGAGGGGTTACTAAGGGATTAGGATTCCAATTGAGGTTAAAGGGTTGAATTGCCAAGGGATTGGAATTTAACTAATTAATTCTAGATGATAATTATCTGAGTATTTATATAAATAAGTATTCTTAAATCAATCCAAAGTAAGAAGTGAGGATCATATGGTGAGTGCACTCTAGCTATAATTCTTTTCTCATATTTTCACAAATCAATTCTCATTTTTATTGTTCTATTTCTCATAACAAAAAGCCAAAAACAAGTCTTTATTTTCAGTTCTCACTTTTACACAAATCGACAATATTTGTCACAAACTATTTGAACTCCTCCATTCTTGAAAGGACGATTATTTGATATACGATCACAATCCCTGTGGAGACGAACTTTTCTTATCATTATATTACTTGTGCGATCGGTATACTTGCCGGGAAGCATCAAGGCCATAGAGTTTTATTTATAATTTGCAAACCAAGTTCCTATCTCATTGACTGCATCCAATGAGAGTACTGCAAGGCAGAGCTAAGAGGCCAAATATAAACAGGTAGTTGATTGTCAAATGCTTCCAAAAGTATATATTCGCAGAGTACATGATCATAAGCAAAAGGATGAACCTCGCTCTATAAAATATTTCTTGTGCGTGTATGAGTACAATAAGTGCAAGAATGAGGGCAGCTGAGCAGCCAGTAAACAACCCTGACTTATGAAATAGTCAAGTGCTAGTGACAAATTAAACTGAACATGGTCTGTTCTTTCTAAGCATAGTGCTGACATAGATTAAGGGAATTGAAATTTTAGTGAGCATAAATGAATCAAGGATTGCAAACACGAGAGCTAGTGGAAAGAGTATCATAACATGGACAGAAATAAGTAAATATTACTATATATCCATTTTACTTTTTGTCTGCACTGCTCCTTGGTTATTATTCAACGTTCACCATAGTACAAATGCACCTCAAGATTTGCTGCCATTATCTAAAAATCAACCACTTCTTGGTGCCCTTACCCAATAAGAATGTCATTCTATTTCGCTCCCTCTTAGCAGTTGGTCTCAATGTGTTTATTCCTTTTCTGTGACTGCCATTTGCAAAGTGCTTAATGAAGTCATGCTCCAACCTTCCATAATCCTATTAACTTCTACAATAAATGATGGAGCAGGCAGCATTATTGGTTTGGAAAATAATTGATTAACAGAAAGAATATAAGAGAATATGAATTTAAGGTACAACCTCATCTGAGCTGCCAACATAAGAACAGTCAACCATCTTTAAGCAACCTTATATGCTTTCCTTTAACTGGCCTGCAATGTTATAAGTCAGACAAAATCGAACTCAAAATATTGCAACCAAAGATTATCATTCAAATCATATAGGAGACCATGACATACATATTCATAATTTTTGAGAATGCCAACCAGTTTAAGAAGCTGCATACCAATCAAGCATAATGATTAGCTTTGTAAAAGATAATCAAGCTCTCATCACTATTAAGTTAAGAGGAACAGGCGGAAGTCATGTCACCTGTAGCATTTTTGAAGCTGAAGCTTACGATAAAATTCCTTCAAGGCTATGCTTATATTTTCCTCAGCTTGTCTCAGCTCTTTCTTGCTAAATGACCGGTAATATTTCGGATTCAAGAGAAGCCTTTTTATAGTTGATACAGGAGATTTTGGTATGGTCATGTTCATCTACACCCAATTGAGGATATCTAATGAAGCTGGTCTAAATCCCTCTATGGAAGTCATAGAAGTTGGTTGTTCCACAAAATTTCAACTTCCATCTTCCATGTCTTTCATTGCTCATCTCAACCTAATGAATAACATCCATGTGTAGACGCGAGTGAAATTCAAACGGTAATTGAACCGTTAGATTGCAACTCCTCCTCAAAAGGCC